GCCTGCCAGTGAAGTGGATGGCACCAGAGGCTCTGTTCGACCGAATATACACCCACCAGAGCGACGTGTGAGTAGTGCCTGGGGGACAGGAGCAATGGGAGGGGAGGGGATGATGGGGAGACCCTCACTCATCTGCCATCAGCTGGGGACATGGCCCTTGGCCACCCCATCCTGCATCCCTGCCTGCATCCTGCTCAGGTCCCATCCCACCCTGCTGCAGCTTATGTAGCTGCACCTTAATTTAATGAAAATGTAATTGGCATCAGCAGAGCAAACGCTTTGAATCCAAATTACATTTGGCGCTGGGACTCGTTCATCTTGCAAAGCAAATCCGAGCTGCTGGTGCTTGTCTCTCCCAGCAAAGAGCTGCTGGCTGTTCCCAAAGCTCTGTACTGGGGGAATCAGCCCTCCCGGAGCTGGTGGCCCAGCCTCTGGCCTGTGCTTGCCCCGGGCAGGTGGTCCTTTGGCGTGCTGCTCTGGGAGATCTTCACACTGGGGGGCTCACCCTACCCCGGCGTGCCAGTCGAGGAGCTCTTCAAGCTGCTGAAGGAAGGACACAGGATGGACAAGCCCAGCAACTGCACCAACGAGCTGTGAGTGCTGGGCTGGGCTGGGAGAAGAGGGGAAATTCATCTTAGGAAGAAAGGGTTCTTGGGCATTGGAACAGGCTGCCCAGGGCAGCAGTGCCATCACCATCCCTGGAGAGGTTTAAGAGTTGTATAGACAAAGTACTGAGGGAGATGGTTTAGTTAAGGACTAGTCAGTTTTAGGTTGAAGGTTGGACTCTGTGATCTGGAAGATCTTTTCCAACCAAGGTAATTCTGTGATCCTGTGATGCTGGCGACCCCAGACCCCCCACCCAGCTGGGGACCAGCACAGCTTCCCCTGGCTGTGCCTCGGAGCACAGGGGACAGGGAGGTGTTCAGAGACTTTCCCAGCAGTTCCCAGCCCTGCAAAACCATCGGCTCTATCTGTTTGTAATAATCAACACTTCCCTTCATTAGGGAGATGTTTCAACTTCGTTCTCAGCCAGAAGCAAGTCCCAGGGCGACCCCAGAACAGGGACTAGCTTAGCTCCCATGCATCCTCCTCCCAGAACAGCTCCACATCCCTCCCAGTGTCTGTGGCAGGGAAGACAAGCAGGGATTTCACTTCCTTCCACACGGGATTGGCCCTAAATCCTTAGAACAGTGTCTGTGCTGGCCATGGGTCCCAGCCCAGTGCTGGCAGCCCCAGGTGCTGCTCAGCTCCCATGGGTAGGGGTCCCAAGCCCCTTTGCTCCAGGCTGAGCCTCCCCTCTGCCCGCCCAGGTACATGATGATGCGGGATTGCTGGCATGCCATCCCCTCCCAGAGACCCACCTTCAAGCAGCTGGTGGAAGACCTGGATAGGATCGTGGCCATGACCTCCAACCAGGTAGGAGAGGTGGCAGCCCCAGACCCCCACCGGCACCCACCCTGCCTGGGCTGGGCGCTCCCCGAGGCACCCACCCCCAACCTGAGCCCGTCCTTGGGGATCGTCCCTCCCAGGAGTACCTGGACCTCTCCATGCCGCTGGATCAGTATTCTCCCGGCTTCCCGGACACCCGCAGCTCCACCTGCTCCTCAGGAGAGGACTCGGTGTTTTCCCACGACCCTCTCCCGGACGAGCCGTGCCTTCCCAAGCCCCCTCAGCACAGCAACGGCGGACTGAAGCGACACTGAGGGTGGCACTGCCAGCAGGGACTGCCACGCCGTGCTGTGCCGTGCTGTGCCGTGCCGTGCTGTGCCACACCGTGCCAGCGGACTCTGCCCGCGCAGCCGGGCGTGCTGAGCTGTTGCAGAGACAACCGTAGCCTCTCACGTCACCAAACCCACCCACCTCCCATGTCAGCTTCTCCCACTGCCTTTCTTGTGAGCTCTCTACAGCCCAAAGGTTTTTTGTTCCGGTGGTTTTTTCTTTTGTTTTGTGATTCCTTTTTTACTGTTTTTTTTTAAAACCTCTTTTCCGTGGAGTCTGTGCTTGAATATTTCCACTTGGATAAGCTGAAATCCTTTCCCATGGGCAGGACCAGCCAGGAAGCCTGCTGCCCTTCCTGGGAACGTGTGTCCTGACAGGGCACGGCGCACCAGGCTTTCCTGCAGCTTGGAGGACTGCTGGGTTCCTGCGGCCACACCAGCTGGGAATGTCGGCGTGTCCGAGCCCTGCCAGCGTGGAGCTCAGTGCCAGGATGCCCCGGAGCTGACCCTGTGGCTCAGCAGTGCCAGCACCAACAGGCTTTGCTGACCAAACCCCTGGGATGTGGAAGATGCAGCGTAGACGTGGCTCAGCACTGACGGCAGAGGCAGCCAAATACCCCAGTGCTAAAAACAAACGTCCTGTGTACATAGCTAAAAATATGTATAAATATGAATATATATTTACATGTCTTTTTAAAAGGGTTGTTACCAGAGATATACCAGTTTGGTAGTAAGGTACTAGTGGCTGGTAGATATCAGTTGCTATAAAAAAAAAAAAAAAAAGTTCATATATTTTGCTACTTTTGCTGTTTTTATTTTTTTAAATTATGTTCTAAACCTATTTCAATTTAGGTCCCTCAATAATTGCTGCTGCTGCTTCAGTTTTATATGGGGTTGTATTAAACAATAATAATAATGTGTCGATGCCTTTTGGGAATACATTGTCATTACGTGCCTGGCCTTGCCCTGGCCCCCGTGTCCCTGTCACCCCCTGGGCTCTGGCAGGGCTGGGGTGGGGACACCATGTTGGTGCTGGGGGGGCCAGGGCAGGGGTCTGCCCTGGGTTTTAGGCAGTGCTGGGGAGGGGGCTGCAGCCCCTGCCCCAGGGCTTGCCTTCCTTGGGGGGGTTGGGGTCATTTCTCTCCCACGCCAGACCCCAGGGACACTTGGAGCAGTTCCAAGTGGCACCAATTTGGTGGCACCAACTCCAGCCCAGCTGGGTGCCCGGCTCCAGCCCCTGCTCCCAGGGGATGCTGCCAGTGCCTTAGGGTGCCTGGGGGTGCCCCCCGGTCTCCGTCCCGGCGGTGATTGCCGTGTCCAGCTGCCCGATCTCTGCCGTGCCAGGGAGGATGGAGCATTATTCCCTGTCCCCTCCACCAGGGAAGGGGCCATTTGTGCCCTCATCCCTCCCCGTCACTGGCCTTGAGACTCCAGAGCCAGGACACTATTACTTGAAAAGTTTATTTTGCCTTTGTATGGAGAAATATTATTTGTTGTAAACTCTTCTGTAATGAATCTGGAATTCTTGTAATTATTAAAGACTTTAACCGAGACTTTGCCAGTCATGGCCCTGTCCCTGGGGGGTGTTAGGAGATGTTTGGGGTGGTGGGTGATGGGGAAGGAGGCTGTAAGGGAGCTGGACATGGAGGGTCATCCAAAAGATGGTCAGAGAGCAGGGAGGAGCAGTGGCTGCTCTGTGGGAGCTCTGCTCTTCATGGCTTTAACATTGCCCATAAAAATATTCTCCCATTCCACACCCAAAATACGTCACCTCCCTTTTTGCTACCAAAATGACATGTGTGTGACTGTGACAGTGTCAGAAAGTGTCACCTGGTGGGTCCCTTCCCCAGGAGGACCCACCTGCCTGCTGAGGGACCAGGTTCCACCAGTCCCTGCGCCAGGACCCTGCAGAAGGTGCCTCTGTCCCATGGACAAGGGGTGACACAGATGTGGGGAGGGGGGTGGATCTGGCCGGGCAGCCCTCCCTTCCTGATGTAACCACTGCTGCTCTGCTTCCATCTCTCTGCTTTTGCCATTTATTTTTTTTCCCCCTGCAGTGCCAGCCCAGCCTGTTGGCATCTGAACAGACCTGCTGCCTCCAGAAGCCCTGCCAGCCCTGGGAGAGATGTTCATCACCCCAGTGCTGAGGAGCTAAAGGTGCTGCCGAGGCTCCACAACTGGGGACATCCTGAGGACATCCCCAGCCCCCCCCGAGCTGCTCCAGTGTGAGGCTCCAGGCAGGGGTACCGGGGGGTGGCTCAGCCAGAGGTTGGAAGCCCCTTCCCTGGGCACTGAAATGCTTAGAGTGAAGTGGCTGCTTCACCGGCCTCACTGGCTGTTTTAAAAGCATCTGCTTGTTGCTGTTTCCTTGTGTAAATTAAATTGATCAGCTGGGCTCTGCCACCCCCCTCCAGCCCCCCCC